CTCTTCTGTGCTCATCTTTCTCTTGTCCAAAAGCAGATCCTTTGTGGATGACTATGACCAGGTTCCCAGAAATGGGAAGGTCCTGTATCATTTCTGCCGTAGCCTCTGTCCCTATACGTATCTGAAAAACCCTATGGCTCATTTTCTCCTCCCTCTGGTCTTTGGTCAAATGTTCCCTCATCACCAGGCTTACCTTGACTGCCCTACTTAAAACAGAACCCCTTCCCGGGTCCCCACCTTACTCTTCCGGATGATGTTCCATTGCTTCTTAGTATCTGCATCATTTAATCCACAACACTTTCTGTAATGCCAGCTTCATGAGGACAAAGAGTTCAGTTCTTTAGTCTCTTACACACCAATAACATTTAGTGGGTATTCAATCAATACAAATTTGTTGTTCGGAACTCACTAAATTTAGTTCAAATAAATTTTCTTTTGACCACAGAGATTATCCTTTGGTTGACCACCTAAACCTAAATGTCCTAACTCGAAGGATTGTCAAAAAGCATGAATTATCATCAGAACACTAACTTTAGTTTAATAATAGCCAAAGAGAATGCACAGAAATGAGCCAACTACTAGGAAGGTCCCTTGGGAAAGGATGCCTGAGGTTAGCAAAGCAGGAATCTGTGGGCTGGTTATCTCAATTACATCTGCACCACAAAACTTTCCAAGAGGAACATTGTCTTACCGTGGAGTGTCTGAAACACCTCCCATCACTTTCCCTAATGCCCAGATCATACTTTTTATCACCCATTTTGCACCAAAGAACAGAGTTACTCCCTGTACCTAATAGAAACTAAAGATATAAATCAGATGTGGGTTCCACAGATGTAAGAGGGCCATGACATCTACCATGAAGATACCTGGAAACCTTGTTTAAAATAGATTTTAATGGGCCCCAGAGAACCAGGTTCATGGAGCGCGACAGTGCTAATGTGGATGCTAGAAGTAACTATCCCTTAAGTTAAAATTCATAACAGTTTATGAGCAAAGAGGCATCTTCCTTGGCAACACTCCCTAAACAAGGCTATAAACAGAGATGACACGTTCAGAAAAGCAGACAGAATTTTCTCTGAGATTGATAACCCCTCTGTATCAGTCATCTTCCTATTACTGTAACAAAATACCTGACACAACCAATATATAAAGAAAAATGGCTTTTGTGGGCCCTTGCTTATGAAAGTTTCAGTCTAAGATCAGGCAGTCAGCTTCATTCCTTTGGACATTTGTCGTAGATAAAAGATCAAGGCAGATGTGGTAACAGGCAAATGTATGAGCCTGGAGGCAGAGAGCAACTTCAAGGGCATGCTCATGATGACCTAAAGAACGTTCACTGGGGTGTTGTTCATTGTCTTCCAGCAACACTACCCAGGGAGCCCAAGCCTTTAACAAGGAAGCCCTCAGAGGACCTCTGCGTCCAGACTACAGGATCAGTTCTGGTTCCACCTTGCATAGAGGGACTGGAAAAGTGATATTGAAGACCATGTCTTGCTATTCATAGCATGGCCTATGTGACCACCATTACAGACTCGTATGCAAAAGCCTGAGGGTAGAAATGCATTCAGTGTGTTACACAGACCTAAAAGAAATAAATGCAGATGTATGGAGTCTAAAAAAGAAAACAAAATCAGGGTGGGTGACAGTAAGATAATTAACAAGCAGAGATCATATAGATCTTCATAGACCATGTAAGAATGAAATTAGAATTACTTGCTCTATAGTAAATACACAATTATTTTAAGTGCCTTGAGAAGGGTTTCATCTGGGAGAAGTAGTAGCAAATATATGCATAGCATACACATAGAAGGCAGTGGCATGAATGACTAACATTTGAGGGCTTGTGTATGCATGTGTTGGGGGCATCAATTTTCTTTAAGAATATAGCCCAGGTAGATGCCCCAGGATCCAGGACATGCTCCCATACTTATGAGTTTATGGGTTGCACAAATTGAACTTTGGATTTTAAAATTGTAGAGTCAACCAAAAGAGAGAAGACATGAATTGAGGATAAGGTGGGAGTAGTCTTCAAGGAGTGGGAGGTGAATATGACAAAAATGCATTGTATGTATATATGACATTATCAAAATTAATAAAAGCATTAAATATATAAAATATAGAGAATGGCATTACATAGGAAGAGGTAATTCTATCAATTGCAATATGACACTTGGAAGTTCCTTCAACCTTGTATTAGTTATCTACACTGCATATAAAAATAATCTCCAACCATAGGAACTCACAACGCTATATATCTTGTGCACTCACTTCTGTGGACTGAGCACCAGGGGCAGACAGGGCTGTGATGGCTAAGGGTCACTGCTGAGGTTTCGGGCACTGATGAAATGTGGTTGCAGTCATCTGAAGTTCATGGGACATGGTTCCAATCTATAGGCAAGACTTCTTAGTTGTCCCCAGGTTTGGCCAAAGTCTTCAAAACTGTAACATCCCCAGTTCTCCTCTCCCAAGGCTGTGTGGGCACGACAGCTGTTTTCTTCCAGAGTGAGTGAGTATAGATGCAGAGGACAGGCAAGTGAGTGAGAGTGTGACATCAGCCGAGGCTTTAGTAACTCCATCCTGTGCACATCATCTCTTCTGTCTATCACAGAGACCAGGCCTGAAACAACAATGCATCAGGGAGACCACAGTCATGAGATAAAGTGGGCCACCTTCTGCTACAATCTTTCAAGTCAATTACCCTGCCTCTCTCTATTTTATGCCTGCATAAAGGATACTCAAGGCTCTGTGTGTGTGTGTGTGTGTGTGTGTGTGTGTGTGTGTGTGTGTGTGTGTGTGTAGCTAAATCCTTTGTTCAAGGAGAAAAATGGATTAAGAAATGGAATAATGGAGCGGTGACCTCAGGGCAAGATCCCACCCAGCTAACTTTCCAACTTGTGGAAAGGAATTAAAGAAAAGCTTGGAGCTAGGTGTGGTGAAGCAGGTCTTTAAATCCAGCACTTGAGAGGATCATGCCTTTGATCCCAGTACATGGGAGGCTCACACCTTTAGTTCTGGCTCAAGGGAGGTGGAGACAGGAATATAAGGTGGGTGGAGACAGGACCTCCTCCATTCGGACTGAGGATTTGTAGGACAGGATGCTCTATTTGAGCTGAGATTTCGTAGAGATAAGAAGTGACTGTGGCTGCTCCTTTGCTTCTCTGATCTTTCAGCTTTACCCCTAGTATCTGACTCCAGGCTTTTATTTAATAAGACTAATCAGGATGACTTCATGAGTGTTTAACCTTAATGTTTCCTCAACCCTTATTGTATTCAAATTCTTATTTACTGTGTTCTTATTCTCTGGAATCTTCTACATTTTCTTCAGTTATTAATCTTTTTTGTTGTTGTTGTTTTGGTTTTTTAGAGACAGGGTTTCTCTACGTAGTTTTGGCTGTCCTGGAACTCACTCTGTAGACCGGGCTGTCCTTGAACTCACAGAGATCCACCTGCCTCTGCCTCCTGAGTGCTGGGATTAAAGGTGTGTGCCACCAGCAACCAGCTTAATTCAATCTTAAGTGGCTTTTCTATGAAGTGGTCTGTTTTTGCTGTTACTTAATGAGCACCAGTATTTATAATGATTAACCATTCTCTGGGCTTTATAAACATTTTTGCAAATTTCAACTTTTCTCTAGATAATAAGTCTCTACAGTAGTTTGAAGATGAAAAAATGAAAGGCTGAGAAGTTAGGCAACTTGCTCAAGGTTATTATGGGGAGCGCATCACTCCTCTAGGGAATTAATTACCTAGAGTCTGTGTGAAAGATTACATTTTTTCCCCTGCTAGTTTATTGCTTTTTCAGACCCTCTTTTGTGTTGTAGCCTAATGCTGCCCTGGAATTCACTATACAGTCCAAGCTGGTTTCAAACTTGTGTTCTTCCATCTTTGTAGTTATTGTTGTTGCTTGCTTATTTTTTACTTTTTGGGGGCCTGCCACCCACCTCCCAGATAAATATGGGGAGACTTATTCTTACTTATGAATGCCCAGCCTTAGCTTGGCTGGTTTCTAGCCAGCTTTGCTAACTTAAATTATTCCATTTCCATTTAACTATGTTTTGCCTCCGGGCTTTTTACCTTTCTTTATTCTATGTATCTTTCTTCTTTTCTTACTCTGTGGCTGGCTGAGTGGCTGTGTGGCTGTGTGGCTGGCCCCTAGCATCTTCTTCTCCTTCTTTTCTTGTTTCTTGTTCTCTTCCTTAGATTTCTCCTCTTTAGTCTTTCTGCCTGGCAGCCAAGACTATTTCTCTCTCCTGCCTAGCTATTGGCTGCCTAGACAAATCGGATGTTTTAGACAGGCACAGTAACACAGCTTTACAGAGTTAAACAAATGCAACATAAAAGAATGCAACACAGCTTTACATCATTAAATAAATGTTCCACAGCATAAACAAATACAACGCATCTTAAACTAACATTGCACAACACATCTTCGTCTTTTACATGCTAGCCTAGCACACAGGTGATGACTAACGCCAGGTGTCTTAACTGCTTTTCCAGTGGCCTTGAGTAAACACAGTGACAAAAGCAATTTAAGGGGAAGGGGGCTACACCGGCCCACAGTTCATCATGGGTGGGGCAGTCAGGAAGCAGGAGCTTGAAGCAGCCGTCCCATCAACCCAGTCAGGAACAGAGAGCAATGGTGTCGGGCGCTGTTCAACTCCTTTCCTCCATTCATATAGTCCAGTGTCTCAGTCAGAAAGAAAAAAATGCCACCTACAAACAGCAGGTCTTCCCAGCTCAGTTAAATCAACCAAGATGATCCCCCCCCCCAGGCATGCCCACAAGCATACCTTCTGGGTGATTCTAGCTTCTGTCAAGTTGACAGCACCGAACATCACACTATGACACCCCCTTTTATCATTTTTTGCTGTTATTGGTGTGAACTGGGTCTCCACGGTCACTGCAATTGTCTTTAGCATCTTATGTTGGTACCATTCCAGATGGATGATATAAAGTCTGAACAAGAAGGCGTTTCGTGTCACTTTCTAGGGAAGTGGCGTTCCAGTTTCCTTGCTGATGAGAAGGGAGGGAAAAGCTGCATGGTGGGCACCAGAAGTGGGCAGGAGTTGCCAACCTTCAAAAGTGGCTCTGTGCAGTTTCTCAGGCACGATGAAAGGCAGCAAGACAGGAGGCCAGAAAAGCAGGCCAACCCAGGAGAATGTAAGATTCCTGCACCCAATCTCTAACAAAGAGGGAGAATAGCATTAATGAAAAGCCATAATGGATACCTTCTTCTATGAACAGCTAATGGGAAAAAAATGCCCCAAGAAACACCTGAAACCTTGAGCAGTTTCTATGGAAACCACAGTCTGTTTTTATTCTGAAGGCATTTGAGTAAATGTGAAGAGATGAAAGCCTTAGACCTGCTGCGTGTATGCAGGGTGGGGATGGTGTTCTAAAAGCCTGATCTTAGCTTCATGGACTACTACAATAGTGTTCTCTCTCTCTCTCTCTCTCTCTCTCTCTCTCTCTCTCTCTCTCTCTCTCTCTCTCCCCTCTCTCCCTCTTTCCCTTTCCCCCCTCTCTCCCTCTTTCCCTTTCTCATAATTTAAAGTAGCAAACAAATGGCATTTTCATTGTCTAAGAAAATAATTCTGGTGTCCTTTATTTTGTATGTGCCATTTAACTAATGTTGCATTCTGTTTTAGTAGGTGTCTGTTTCCCACATGTGAAATAGGGCTTACAAGTATCACATGCTTTTGACCTCCATTACCTGTGCAAATACCATATTATCCAGAAGGAAGGATGTGAGAAAAGGTAGTCACACAAAGAAGGGACATATAAAGAAGAGGAAGAAAAAGGAGAAGAAAGAAGCAGGAAGAGGAGGAGGGAGGGAAAGAAGAGGAGGAGGAAGAGGAGGAAGAGAAGAAAGCCTAAGGTAAGTTATATAATGCTGTCTATCATTAATATAAGGGGAATATGATTTTTGATGACTTTATCTCTTGTAAGTGTGGTAATTCCTCCTTAATCTATTTCTCTTGAATATTTGCATTGACCCAGGAAATATTGGGAGGTTTTGTTCATTAGTAACTTTTGTAGTCACAAATAAAAGGGCATAAAATTTTGGCATTTAGAATAGGAAAAACTGAAATAGTAGGAATGACAGTTCTGGAACTGTGATTTCTTTCCTGGAATTTGAGGAGAGAGAATGTCATATGACATTGCCCTGTGGGCTCCTTGTGTCTATGAGGTTCTTTCAGAGCGTCTGATGGTGTGTGCAGACACACTAAGTTATACCAGGGAAGAGAAAGACATTTTTTTCTGGGTCCTAAAGAGGAATTGACAAAAACAAAGCAAGTCCAATATCTTCATGAAGCATGCATCATCCGACAAGGAAGTTTCTGAATCCTGCCTACATCAGGGAGTGGCTGTGATGTGATTAAACAGAGTAGGGTAAGAGGGGGGAATGTGGTTCTGAACCCAAGACTTTTAGAATCACTGGGAGATGGGAGGCAAGGGCCTCAAAGCATCTATAAGCACCTCGCTGTTGTCTCTGCTTTTCAGATGACACATTTCCCCAGAAGAGGAAGAGCATCTCAGGCCGCCTGTCAGTGCTTGGATGAGCAGAGGCTCTCCTGGTATCTCATTCTTAGTTTCATCTGATTCCTAGTTTCTCTAAAGCATTATGCTTTTAAAGCCACCGTCAATTTTTATAAGAACTAAAATCGCAGCTGATGTTCACCTGTTCCATGAAGTCATCCCAAGTAACTTCCTGTTGACTATAAAATGTCAAACTGAGGGCCCAAAAATGGGTTCCCAGACACACACACACACACACACACACACACACACACACACACACACACACACTTCAAATAGGTTTACCCTACTGTGATAAATGAATTGATAAGAAAACTGTCATTTATTGGTGGCATAAGACCTTTGATCTCCATTAATTACCATTACCATTGACCATTAATATTGATCACAATGTAACAAATAAATAAACTTTTAACACCCTTTGAACTTCAATTTTCATAACAGGTATTCTCTTAATTGGTACCACATATTATCTCATCAGATTTTAAGCATTTTATGTCCATTTACTTGGAAATGTCTCCTAGAAACAAAGGAATATCAGAGAACAAGATGTTACAAACTTAAGGTGCTGGGGATAATTACAGTGTTTAAATATTTTGAGTTATGGAATTAGTCGACACGAGCTTGATGCTGGCCCTATCTCTCATTTATCTACCGTTACCTCTCAGAACACTGCACAATTGTTTTGATCTCTTCACCTGGATATTACAGATTTGAAAAATATGAAATATATATTTATATTAGCTAATAAATTAATTTTAGATAACATTAGTGTATTGATATTATTTATGTTATTTTGCTATGTGAAAATTTATATCTTTATTGTTTGATGAAATATTATAAATTTGTGGGTATATGTTCCAAATTAATTCTGTCATAGACGATTGATTCTTGAACTGGAGACTAAACTGGCCAAAGATATTTACTGAACTGTGTAGTTTGTGTGCTACTTCATGGCTGACCACATGAGGGCAGCATAGTATCTCTTAAGACAGCATCCGACAGCGAGGGTAAAAATTTGGTATTGAGGCCATGTGAAAATCATGAATATAAAATGAAAGCTAGAAGACTCGCTAATGGTCTTTTTATCCAAACTTTCACTTCCCAACAGAAGAAATTGAGGTCCCAGGAGACCAATTAACAAGTCCCCTCACACAATTGATGTCTTTGAAGGTAGAGTGAAGAACCATTTGACATTAAGAACGGCAATAATAATTACATTAACCAAGCACCTAGGTATGTTAAGAGCCTTCGTATTATACACTGATATATGTGAAAGCATTTTGAATGAAATTTTATATTCCTAATAAGGAATTAGCCTCAGAAATTTTCCTTTCTGGAGAACTAGACAAATAAAATGATAGAATAACATTTCCTAAAGACTTAGGATAGATAAACTTGAAGGCAGAAAAGTGAAGCCTGTACTTCTCGGGGTCTTCATTATTAATTCCTTCACAGCCATGCATTTGTGTGTTCTTTCAAAATGACAGCGCTGTCTCCGAGAAGAAGGGGAATGCTAGGGAACAGGGCAGAGCAGTTCTGCCTAGATATTTCTGGTGTTTATTTCTTCACGCCCACAGGTTCGTTACATAACACGCAGATACATGCACACCCAGGCAGAACTGTGAAAGGCCAGCTCCCACCAGTGGCATGGTGGCTGGAATGCCACAGGGGAGGGGGGTCTTAAGTCTTTCTCAGAAACCCCCTCTTTCCAAACTTGCCAGGAAAATTAAAGATTGACATGAAAATGTAGCTAAATAGAAAATACTTCCTGTACAGCTGAACCCCACCCACCCTTCTGCCTCCTGCAGGTCGTTACCTGTCTTCCCAGTTCTTTTCTTCACTACTGCTGTCATTATTACTCACCATAACTTCACTAACAGATTTGCAAAATGGACCCTGTGGTAGGTAGTTTAGGCACAACCTGAATAGGGAGGAAACAGTTATTTGACTGAACTTGATAACAGATGTTTTTGTAAGGCTTTTCCTGGAGATGTTTGCAACGATAGAATGAATAAAGACACTTGCTTTCCATAATTCGGGGAACTGGTAATGGTCAGCATTCAGTCTGGATAGTAATAGTAATCCCTTGGACATCAGACATCGGAGAACTGCCCATGGCTGCCTTTTACATTGGACACTGGCTTTTTCTTGGCATCAGACACAAATGGACACTGTATCTTTTCCCAGATGCACATTTTCAGGTTTTCGGAACAGAATTTCCCATCAGCTTTCCTGGTCCTCAGACCTTTGGAACTGGGGCTATTCTTGATCTTTGAACTTCCTGCTTGCTGACTCCCCTTGTAGACCCTGGGACTTGCCATCATCTCTAACTGTATAAAACAATCTCTTTAATAAGTTTCTCTCTCTTTGTATGTACATTGTTGGCTGTCTTTCTCTGAAGTGCTCTAGTAATGGAAAATCATATTGTCTTTAATACATTTTCAGTTAAAAGCAGAGACTAATTTTTACAGTAATTTATAAGTTGATACCATGTATTAATTCAATGAATAATGCATTACATAAGAAACTTGATTTCATGCAGACACTGACTTGAGTTCTCAGAGTTCTTACTGTGCCTAGCACTTAGTAGGCATTTAACAGGTATGTGCTGAATGCATGAACACACAGATTTTATCAATTTTATCGTTTCTATCAGAGCATCAGGTTTTTTTCCCCTTCCCTTCATGTAGGAGAACATGAAAGTTATTAGCTTACTGCAAAGAAAGTGCTTAGCATTTTGTTGCTAGGATACTACTTGGTTCAGCTCTAAAGCTATGCATTTGTAATTTTCTACGAAGGAACAATGTGAGCCTAGGAAGCCTTGAGTGAATATGTAAAAGTCTTGAGTGGAATGGTTGGACATGGGCATGACAATGTCAATGACCAATACCTTAGACCCTTAAAAAATGATAAAGCCTTCTCCCTAAGGGTGAAGCTCAGAAATGGCAAAGCCTTACTCTAATCTGATTCCAAATAACACAATGGGTGCAAAAATGAGCATCTGCAGCTTCCTCCTCCTGAATGGTTACAGCCTGAGGCTGCTCATAGAGACACCTCCTACCCAGACTAGATAGCTCCACCCCACTGTGCTGTATGTGATAAATGAGCTGAGTTTCCAAGGTTCTCCATGACTGATGCCATTCTTGTAGTGGACACATTTCTTCTGACCTTGGATTTTCTATGCACATGTCTGTCAATTTTTTTTTTATAGCATCTCTCTTGTCTTCATCCCCTGCCTCATAGTCCATAGTCAGGTCAGGGTGCCAAGCCACACAGAATGAGGAAGGACATAGCAGATTCCAAGTGTGATTAATCTACAATGAGGATTCTTAATATAAGTTCTAGTTTTAGTCAGTATGTTAACTCAGGGTTTTTATTTAATTCACTCTACTGACATATATAAGCACCTTGACAGTCCAGTTTTTTAATATGGCTACTCATACAAAGGAAGCCCACATGACTGACTTATATTCCAAATTTGCATGAATAGCAGAAAGGAAGTATTTTTTATTCTTCTAAGGAGAACTGGCTATTTTGGGTGGCCTACATACACTACTGCTGTACACCATGATCAACTTTTTCAAAATTTCTCAGTGACCTACCCTGCCCACCGAAGTGAGTCTTCTGGGAACTGTGTTCTCCCTTCCTCATTTGGCATTAATACTTGGTCTTTCCTTTTCTGTGAGTTTTGAAGGACATATTATCATTCACTAAGGAGGTCCAGTCTCTTCCATGATGCCACATTGCCAGCTCATTTCAGTCTTTTGATTTGTTTTTAGTGTCTTCCCTGACCTTCTTCTCTCAAGCAACATACATACTAGGAGTCTTTTTCTTCATAAAGCATTACATCAAAACTTTATTTTGTTTTTCATCTGTTTGGCTCACTTATCTGTATTCCTACCATATAACATCTGGAAATTCATTATAGCATAAGCTTGTCAGTACTGTTGGCTGTTATATTTTGTGGAACGTCCAATGCCTTATCCATAGCAAAGGATCAATAAATATCCTTAGAAATGAGTTAGAAAAAAATGTAAATTCATTTTATGAGAATTGGAGTCATATTTTGACCCAAATCTCTTGTTTAGGACAAAATTTTAAAGTAAAACTTTGGATATTGTTTTTTAAGTGTCACCTATTAGAAACATTGTTTAAATCTGGATAGAATTTCAAAACTTTAAAAATGTGCATAATATTGTGACTAATTTGAACACAAATGTTTGTGTTTTAAATTAAAAATAATAATTATGGGAAAATTTTGCTAATGTTTAGTATCAACTGACCCGGGTTCTACAAAACTTAAAAGATCAAAGCTTATGCTTGCTATTGCTTGAATGATGTTACGAGGAGATCAAAAGCAGGGCATGTATTATGTGTCCAGAACCGATAAATCTTAATGACAGAGGTCAGGATGAAAGCATGAACTGTCTTACCCTACTGTACTTCATGAGCTTGTTGCTACTTAGTGGTGTTTTTTGTTTGATTGTTTCAAATAAAAAAAAATGCAGTATATAAAAAGTAATTAGGTTTCAAGTCTATTAAATAGTTTAAATTCATTGCATAGTTACATTGATTTGTAATTCCTATATTTGAGGAATAATTGCTATTCTCCTTAAGAAGCGGCATCATTTAATGATGGGAAACACAAACTCACAGTTTTCAAGCTTGCCAGGCTCCAGTGATGAACTGTGGGTCTAATCAATGGTGGGTGCTTGAATATTTGAAGTACCTAGCTCTGGTTGAATAAATAACAACAAAGATTTGTTGAGATTGAATATGCAGAGCAGAGACCAGAGCCAAATCAAAAAGAAAATGTTGTTTGGCAAATCATTATCAAAACGCTAAGGCAAGTAAAAGTGAAGATTGTGTGGTGTACCTAACCCACACCAGAAGAAAGGACAGGACAGAGACGAAGCTCTGCCAGGGCTGAGCACATATGATGTTCAGACCTTGTGTTTGTGCCACAGCACCAGAGACCAGGCTTATTATCTGTCTTTTACTTGCATGATTGCCTCAGTTACGGTACTTGGAATTAGTCTTTACTTCTCTCCCTTACCTTCAATACATTCTCCATGGATGACATTCGGTGACCTCACTGATTTTGGCCATGTTGTTTCCTGATAGACAGCTGGATGATGCATTCTTATGCTAATGAAACACTAAGTAGAAATGATCGAGTATGTGTTCTCAAATGGCATATGGAATTAAATCAGGTTATCTTCTTGGGACCTGCCCCCTTTGCCACGAGAAAAGCTTGTCTTAAGGAGCTTCCTTCAGCCTGGACACTGAGATGAAGACCCGGAGCAGCTCAGTCTAGTGCAGAAAAGCCTAGGTAAGTGCTGAGGGCATCAGCTAATTCACATTTCACTCACCAACTGAAGCATGGACAAATGATTGTTCCTATAGTCCATTGAAATTTAGCGCGTGTGTGCCTTACCTAGTATTACCATAAGCAGAAACCCAATTAGCTCACACACTGATAAAACACTGTTTAAAACATAGAAAATTTATTAAGGAGAAAAAAAATTAACAGAAAAAATACTTGGCAGGATTGAAGATAACATCAAATACGTTTGAACCAAAATAATATCAATTTGGAGTACAGCTCAGTTTTAAAGCTTCTCTCTAACACATTTAGAGCCCTGAGCTTGATTTCCATCATGAAAAGGAAAAGATTTACCTATGTCAATATCTAAGAACAACTAGTTGGGCAGGAGCCACTCCGGCCTTTCAGGTGTTATATCGTTTCCTCGAGCCAGAAAGTGCTTCTGGTGTAAAATTCTACAAAGAGACAGTCCTGCCTGCCCAGTGGATCTTGCCTGTAAGCCTGTAGAAGACCTTAACTAAACTATGTGTCATTTTTTTACAGTTACACATGCAATTGTTCGTTCTTCTAATGTGGGAGGCCTACATTGCAATAGAATAATCTTCCATTACTTTGTATTTAGCTCTTCATTATTATACAGTGCCCATTCCAAACAAGGGACGAATTGTGACAACATCCTCATCTCCAAAGCATGTGTCCTGCAGATCAAAGCTCTGTCTGCCAATTTGACTGTTTTTAAAACGTTCCCAATGCATTTGAGTGTATTGATGCTTTTCTTTGGATTTTCCTCCTCACTTTTCAGCACTATGAAGAGAATGTTGCTCTCTTTAAAGTTCTGGCAGGCACATTCTAGAAATGTTTGTGAAGAGTGAGTATTCAGTAATTGTTGCTAATTGCCTCTGCTCTCCACTTCACATTGCTACTACAGACCTGGCAAAAGACTCTTTGTTCCAATGAAGCCCATCTTTGTTTTCAGATACTAATCATTCTTTTGGAAGGAATGAACGTTGCTTTCTAAAGCAAGCACCAAATATGCATTGCACATGGAAAGAAAGTTCTCGCTGGTATATGCATCACACACACATACACACACACACACACACACACACACACACACACACTCACACACCAAGATCTTAATTAAAGGCCAATTATTTCTCTCTTTTAAATATTTGGAAAATCCAATTTCTGAAACATTTTCATTTGATTAGCCCAAAATATATATAATCATGATCACATTAATAACTCTTATTTTTATCACATCACTTTACTAGCAAAAACAAAAATGTTAGTAACATTAAAAATAAATAAGTTAAATAAGCATAAGCATATTTCAAAGATAATTTGGGTTATAAATACTTCGAAAGTCTGACATTTGACGTAATGGATTTGAGACTGAGTTAAATCACGCTATATTCAGTATCACCAAGCTTATAGGTTGATAGCAGTAGATGTTTAAAAAATAACTTACATGATGGATGAGATATAGTTGCTTAATAGGATCACCTTCAACTCCACTGTGACATTTCTTACACATTAAAGATAATTGTATATTCAAATATCAAGTTTGGGACCTGCCCCCACCCCCCCCACACCTTACAGGATCTAAGTGAAGTTGATGTATCATTTTCTACAAGGAATACACAGTGTAAACTAAGAGAATATCTATTGTCAGAGTGACTTGAGATATTGCTAACTGATATTTATATTTCTTTGTTCATCAAAATTCCATAGCACATACCAACAAAATAGTGAAAAAAAATTGACAGATTTATAGAGATTGGAATTTTTTTCTATTTTCTATCTTTAACAGGGACAGTACAATCACACTATCAGCCTTTTGTTACTATTAAATTGAAGCATTAAGTAATGCTAATATGACAAATTATCTATCAAAAATATCACTATAAATAGCAATGGCTCCTTTCTTCCATCAGTGACTTTGGAGGTAATGAACTCTGGGATAGCTCATGGAACAAGGTGGTAGTTCTGATTCTTAGTTCACTGGTGACTGAACATTTCCAAAGGAAACAGACAGGTACGGAGAAAACATATTTAAATCATTCACAGAGACAGGGAGGTCTTATCACCAAGAGGACAGAAGGAGTGAGTGATTGTATAACATGCTTCTGCATGATATTTTGCATCTACACAGAATTCCCACGCTCTCCAGACTCTTCATGTGTCTGTCATGGCTCTTTTCAAAGTGGAGGTGGGGGCAAGTTGCCTCAAAGGCTTTTGAGGTTATGGGATCTGATGGAGACTATGCAGTCTCTCATTGTCTACATGCCAGGGAAGAGCTTAGTCATCAGGGAGAGCTAGCTGGTCCCAGTCAGGCTAAGCACTGATGGGTGTGCAACAGCCAATGGCGGATTCAGCCTAGAGACAGTGTTGGTCAGTGTACAGCTAAGATGGACTGGACCTCAGACAACCTAAGACCCTTTACATGATCCTTCCTCAGATTCCCACAAGTGACTTTGAGCTTACACAGCAAGCGCTGTACAGAGAGGATCAGAAAGGACCCCTGACAGCAGGAAGAGAACATCACACTCTCCTTAATCCCTCTGTGTGAGCTTGTGGAGAGAGCCAGCTCCGTTACTAAGTCGGACGGGGCTTACAGTGTGGAAGGTAAAACTACATACAGACAAGTATCTGTGCTTTTGACATTTATTCAACTCCATTGTTTAATAGGCCTTTTTGTTCTTCTTCTTCATATTACAATGTTATAACCAAACACGATGAGGGTTTTCCCTTTAACTGTATGTAGAGTAGGCGTCTGTATCCATGTCTGAGAACTAACAATAGCGTCTCAGGCCACATTCTAAAAAGCACCATGAATCACTGTGGCCAGACATCCTCTGAACCAGACCCATGAAAATAATAGCCCTGTGCCTGGGGACTGTCTGAGGAATGGTGGGAGGGGAGGAGGAAGGAATTCTTAGCCTCCAGGGAAGGCAGTGTGCTTGGTGAGCTGAGTCATCCCAGCCCTGGTAGAGACTGTAGCACTAAGGCTGTCAGTTTACTGACAGCAGGCTGGATAAATACAGAGAGAATAAAGATGGAGAGGTTGTCTATAAAAACTGAGTGAAAAGGGAAGCCTGGCATCCAGGGCCCCATTTGAATTCCTGTTCACCAACACTGCTGCCTGCCTGCCTCCTGGTTCCTATACAAGGCAGAAGGAGGCCAGGGAAGAGGAGGAATTGACAACTATCCTGGCCATGTGGGCATAAGGAGAATGAACACCTTTCCCTGGCACAGTGATAACCTCCAAAGGGAGCTTTATTCTACCAGAGAACCCCAGGGCAAGATCTCAGGTGGGCTACCAATAGCTAGAGTTGTGGAGGACTAGAGGGTTCCCAGGGAGCTGTGCATTGGTATCATTACAGAGAATTGTGAGGAGAGTCTGTGCTCAAGGTCAGGATCAGCAGCAATGTCACTTCTCAGCACGCCTGCCTCAGATGATGGAGCAGTGATCCTTTTGTAGGAGAACAATGACTTTTTGTTGCACAAAGACATCTGTCCCCCAACCCTGCCTGTCTGCTGGTCACTGCCAGAGAAGGGTATAAGGTTTAGGAGTGTGAAGGGGGCAGTGAGTGAGGGCCTGTGCCTTTCATTAGATCACTTCAGGAGTGTATTAAGCACTGGCGGGAAGGACAGACTGAATTAGATATGAGACTGCAATTTTAACTTGCACTGGATTGAATTTTAATAACAATAAATATTCATATATTATGAAATCTTGAAAGATGACATCCAGTGGTTGGAGAAGAGCAGCAGGCAAACGAATGTGTCTGAAAATACTGACCAGGAAAAATATAAAGTCATTTTTTGTAGCAGCAATAAACGGCTTATAATGACCAGTAATAAGCTTGATCAAAGCAAATACAGACGCATTTTTAAGGAACGTATAAAGAAAACTTGTGTTTACTAACGGGTACATCTTGATAGGTAATTTGTCTGGGCTCTAGATAGAGTCACAGTTAACTCTTTTAATGAATAGGAAATTCCCCTCCTTGTTTACACAGCATGCTACAGCCAAAGGATGTTAAATAATTTGCCCAGAGATGAACAGCTAATAAGTGATGGATGTGGGAAAAAATTAAGTAAATACGATGTCCAAGCCAGTTCTTAACCTACTGGGAGTCCACTGCCACCAGCTGAGGTGGCCAGTATGACATGCTTCACACTGAGTGTTTGCTTTGTTTACTTGGCACAGCTGATATGAAGGCATCCATTCAGTAGGGTGCTTCTAAATAGACCTGCCAAATGTTGGTGACGATTCTTTTTCAGTTCCAATCCTGATTCCTCAGTTTAAAAACCAGAAAGATGGTGCTGTCTTGGCTTCCCTGTGGTTTTCCTTTGTTTGGGTGACGTGCTTGGGTGCCATGGAGACTGTCTGCAGACAGATGCTAGTACACCACTGCAAACATTGCCTGTTCTTGCTATGCCCAAGATGGAGAGTTGTGTTAGCATCGTGTGGCACCCTGCCATCTGGACCTACTGAGGCCTTCTTTCTTGACACATGTTCACCGAGTGACTCACTTCCTCTTTGTGATCAGACTTTCCAGAGCCTCTGTCCACTTCCACTTGGATTGTATGTGACAAAGAGAAGAAAGAAGCAGAATTCAGGGTCAGACAGATAAAACAACCTTCAAATTTTTTTAATCCTGTAGATATTTGCAGAATGTTGAAGGCAAGCATGGGCCAGGAGCTTTAATAAGGTTTTCTTATCATTAGTATTTCAGGATCCAAAAACACAGATTACTTTTTCTGGTACTTACATATACCCATAGACTCTTAAACTCTGAGATTTTTGTGGGTTTTGAGAATTCATCCTTGATCTGTGCTCAGTATTTGGTTAAATCTTCCCTGTCTATTCCTGATTGCCTTGGGACTGCTTAAAACTATTTTATCATTAAGCTATGGCACACTTATGCTTGATATATTTTGTGTAGTCAACACCTTAATATTTACCAGTAAGGCACATGTTTTCTTTCATTGATGCTGCAGCTATTCCATACATTAATATATGAGGACTTTTTTTTGAGCCTTAGTACTTGTTTATAATTTTTTTATTTATATAATACTTTTGTACTTATTTAGAACTTCTTTCCTGTTTCCTATATGTAATGATTTAAATGACTTAGGACCCAGGCAGTGGTTCATACATATAATTCCAGCATAAAGGAGGCTGAGGCAAGAAGATTGTCACTGATGTAAGACTGTGGATAGCCTGGAACTCATAGTGGGTTTCAGGCTAGCTTAGGCTATAGACTGAGGCCTTTCTGAAAAAAAACAAAAACAAAAACAAAAACAAAAAAACAAGCAAACAGAAAATGCAAAATAAGTTGTGCTTGATTCCCCCCACTACACAGTTGGTCTGAGAGCATAAGCCAACCATGAATCTGTTATCCATACATTCTTAGCTGAGGAGGAAAAGTAACAGAACAGAAGGAAGATCTATAGACACCATTAATAATGTTGTAGAAATTGAGAGGCTTGGTTCAAGTACATTTTTGTTCCTGAGACCCAATAGAAAGGGAAAAACATAAATAGAATATCTAGATCCACCTGAAAATTTAGAGCACAGCTTTTCAAAGTATATTTCTAGAATATCATAGGGGTCTTAGATGGGCTCATGTTTGGCTAACTGGAGACTAAGTTGATGTGTGGGTTTATTGAGTAAAATGTGTAATTGGATAACTTCATGTTATCCATCTCTGTTGAGGTTTGGAGGTGATACTTCTTGCAGTAAGCACCCATCCTTGTATTGGCAAAGATGGTTATGTCCTGATGAAATTATTAGAGGCCATCCAAAGAGGTAGTTCAAAATATTTAGCTGTTAGGCACTGTATGAATGGCTAAATCTAACAAAGGAAAAGTAAATCATGGTTGCCAATGAACAATGTATATGGTAATAACATGTATAAAAGTTGAACCAGACAAACGTTGCAAGGTTAATGTTTACATTTCAGCACAGGTGGCCAGCATTTTGATGTGAATTAAAAAAAAAAAAGCGAAAAGATCATACTCAGATTATCTTGACTGATACTGCTGTTGGGGTTAGGCAGCCATTGGTATGCTTTCTGACTTAGTTCCTGAAGAAGACGGATGGTCAGAGGTCTAGATGCAATGGCTGTCATTGGTTCAGTTCCTCTGAGATCATGGGTTGGTCATAACAGAGAGCTGGTTGTATGAAAGCTGTGTAAGCACACGTATTCTACCTTCACATCACCAGTTAAGTGGCCCTGTGAGCAGGCTGATTACCATATGTTTGCTCTTTAGAGGCAGAAGGACAGATGCAGTTCCCTGGGTTCACTTTTTAAAATGATGATATCTTTCAGTTTCTTTAGTATTCCTCTGAGCCTTCCCTCCAAAGCAATATATCCATTGTACGGAATGGTTATTTGAAAAGCTCAGTGGGTAAAAACTCTTTGAACTGTACTTTTCTCTTTAGCTGAATGAGAACATCTGAAAGTCCCTCTCCCATTTTCTTTCATTGACACTAACTCAGTTTGACAACCCACACTCAGGAGAACTGTATATCACTATGTGAACTAGCGTTGGCCAGCACTTTAAATGCTCTCCCAGCCCTGAGTGTGGAAGACAATTTCTAACTTCTATTTTGTTTGTAGCCTGCTATACTAGGTAAACTCACATATAAATTGACTGTCCTTGTCCTATGTGGA